TTACATTTTTTGAATCTCATTGTGAATTTCAGGACCAGAACTCGGGGATGATGATTGGGCATGCTAGGATGCTTGAAGGTCTTTACTACTTTGCTGAAGTACCTGTTAGTAATAAAAAAGCTCAGAGCTTTAATAATACTAGTTCAATCTTTGTTCGAGAAAAAATAATGCTATGGCACTATAGGCTAGGACATCCTAGTTTTCTTTATTTGAAACACTTATTTCCATAATTATTTAAAGGGATTGATTGTTCTTCTTTTCATTGTGAAAGTTGCATTTTTGCAAAATTTCGCCGCTCTACTTATTTGCCAAAACCTTACCAGGCTTCCAAACCTTTTTATTTGATTCATAGTGATGTTTGGGGCCCTTCTGAAATCACTACTCTTTCTGGTAAAAGATGGTTTGTTACATTTATTGATGACCATACCCGCTTATGTTGGATTTATTTGATGAATAAAAAATCTGCGTGAAAAATTTATTCACAAATTTTTACAATATGATTGAAAACCAATTTCAAACCAAAATTGGTATTTTACATTCTGATAATGGAACAGAATATTTCAATGAGCAGTTGGGTGAGTTTTTGGAAAAAAAGGGGATTTTTCATCAATCTACATGTCGGGATATACCCCTCAACAAAATGGCATTGCAGAACGAAAAAATAAACATCTACTTAAAATTGCACGTGCTATAATGTTTTACATGCATGTTCCTAAATATTTATGGGGTGAAGCAATTTTAACAGCCTCTTATTTGATAAACAGGATGCCTACAAAGGTGTTAACATACAAAATACCTTTCGATTGTCTCAAAGCTTTTTTTCCTAACACGAGGTTGTTTTCTGATTTACCCGCCAAAGTTTTTGGATGTACTGCCTATGTTCATGTTCCTAGTCAATTTCGTTCAAAACTTGACCCCCGTGCTATAAAATGTGTTTTTTTGGGTTATTCCTCAAACAAAAAGGGGTATAAGTGTTTCGATCCTCAAACCAAGAAATTTCATGTGAGTATGGATGTATCAAGTGCCGATCTCCTCGTTCGCTGGATGACTAGTTTTGCTCCAGGGAAGACATTGAGGTGATGGCAGATGAAACTTGGATCGAGGCCGGGCATGTCGTAAGGCGACCACGCGAAGACTTCGATGTTGGCCATCAAAAACTCAACCATCTCGGTCCTTTCTATGGCCGTGAGACTTGAGCCGAGCAAGAAGAACTTGTCCGGCTGTTCTGCATCAATTCGCACCTCAACCAATTCCTCAACAGCCTTGTCTTCGGCCTTGGTGCCCACATCATCCAAGACACCCTGGTCCTCCGGTCCCTCAATCATTTGAACGAATCCTTTGGCAGCCCGGCTTCCGTTGACGGCCACGAAGCACTGCTTAGACATGACTTGATCACCCCAAATCTCCTCGATTGCCCCCATAGCCGAGGGGAATCTCATCACCTGGTGGTAGGTCGACGCTACAGCTTGCATAGCGTGAAGCCATCCCCTTCCAAGGATAAGGTTGTACGTCGAAGGCACTTGTAGCACCCAAAACTCCACTTGCTTGACCACGGATCCCGCTTTAACCGGCAGGATAATCTTTCCCAAGGGCCACTCCGGTTGTGAGTTAAATCCAACTAGTGGCGAAGTCGCCGGAGCCAAGTCTGTCTCCCGGAGTTTGAGTTGCTTGAACGCATCATAATATATGATCTCGACCGAGCTTTCCTGATCGATCAAGATCCGTTTAACATCAAATTCCTTGACGCGCAGTGTTACTACCAGGGCATCGTTGTGTGGTGTCTGGATACGCTCTAGATCCTTTGAGGTGAAACCAATCACGTCTTTTTCTTCTGTCTTCCCCCTTTTGATGGCAGGCTGTACCGACAAAACTTCCCGCATATGTTCTGCCTTTTTTATCATGCCCCGGAGTTCACAAACACGCTCCGGTTCCACGATGGATGACATTAATAACTCCCTGTGGTGGTGCGTCTCAGTCATCCTGTCCCCTGGGATCGACCGGAGCCTGATTCGACTTTACGCCGCCATCAATGTAAAGATCTAGATGCCCGGCCGCGACCAGCTCTTCTAAGTGTTGCCGCAAAGGAAAACAATCCTCTGTTCAGTGGCCCTTCTCCCGGTGGAATGTGCAACGATACCGCGGATTGTAGCCCTTCTATCCATCGCCCAACTTAGCAGGAAACCGGACATACTCCTCGTCTCGGATTTCACTAAGTATGCGATAAATTGGAATCTTGAAGACCGTGGTGATGCCAGTCCTTGCCTTCAATCTTCTGTTAGCATCCGCAACATCATCTCGGGCGTAGTCATCCCAGTCGTTCCGACGTCCTCTACCCCGGTTTTTGTGATTCGAGCCACGGTCTGATTCCTCTGCTCGTTCATTTGTGCGGCTGGACTCTTGCCCAACTGCTTGCCTGCTGTCTTCTTGTCTGTTGCTACCGGAATTGACTTCACGGTAGAAGCTGACGCGTCATCCTCTACTCGGATGTGCTCATTGATGCGCTGCATGAGCTGGCCCATGGAAGTCGGTTGGTGCATGGTCAGCGAGTCCCGCAATCTATGGCCGACCGGGAGACCACGCTTATATTGCGTGATTGCGAGGTTGACCGGGCAGTCCAAGATCTCGTTGAAGGGCTTCCCAGTACCTTGAGTTGTACGCTTCAGTGTGTGCGCACGGTTCATTTTGGACACTCAGCAAGTGGATCGACTTCCTTCGGTGTTTTTGTGTTGGTTTTTGAAGCGGTGTAACAACGCCTGGCCAACTGATGCCACCTTTTGTATGCTCCCTTCCGGGCAACCTCACGAACCACTTTAAGCCCAGCTCGCTAATACTTGACGGAAGAATTAGGCACATGTCCGTCATTTTCGGCCTATGTCTGGCCATAACCTTGTCAGAAGTGCCTCACAATGCATGTAAGGATCGGTATTTTCCGTCCGTAGAGTGTGAAACTTAGGCCTGGTGAAGGCCTGCCGGATAGCGGTGTTGTTTCTATTTCCAGAAAAAACGGGTGGCGCTCAGCCTGGCCACAGTCCGTCTCTTCGAAGAGTGGCACTTGCTTGGCGGGGTGGAGGCATATCCGACCTCCTCGCTGGTGTGAATCCCCGTAGGATAGGCCGCTGGAAAGCCGGTATTCTCTGAGCTTCGCGCCGGCGAGCCCGCTTCTTCTAAGACAATCCGTAAAATCTCCTCGAATGAGCGGAATAAGTACCCTCGACGTCGTCGCCCGGACGTGAGGTTGTTAGGTGCTGTCTTTGCGCGCTAGACTTTTCTGCCATGCGGCGTCAACGGATCACCAACCTGTAATTTCTGGTAAATAATATGGACTGGGTACGTCGCTGACTTCCTGACCGCCTGAACGGCGGAATGGGGTGGCTCACTGCTGGTCTCCCACTCCAAGCTACACCTTTTCCCTTGTTGACATTGCCGCTTCAGATCCTTCATATCTCCGGCCGCCATTCGCCGGATGACAGCGTTCTGGTCCTCAACTACTTTTCCAAGTCGTCTGGCGTGTGAATCTCTCCTCCGCCGGCTGACCGTCTGGAACGCCGTGAATGACCATGACTTCTTCCGCGGCTTAATCCCTGCGCGTCTCCTGACTGTCCGCCGGTGGGCGTCCCCAAGTTCGCCATTGAATGGATTGGCGGGAGGAACCTCTGTCTCCTCGGTGTAACTCCGGGGTGGCTCCGTCTAAGCAGA